TCGACACGATGTTGTAGAAGCTGCCGCCCCATCTTTCTCTGAGGATGGCTCGGGAAAGCGACTCGTTGCCAAGGAAAGGAGAGCCAAAACCAATGCATAAGACAGAGACGGGTGGGAAGATGGATTTGAGCTTGGAGAGGAGCCCAAGAGCTGCGAGGAAGGCAATTGATCCACCTATGGAATGGCCTGTGATCACTATTGAGTTGGTGTTTTCCAACAAGCTGTCAATCTGCATGCATATTCAAGATTTCCTGAAATCTAGACAAACAATTCCTGAAAAAAAAATCTCGATTACAATGCTTCATAAACTTCACTTGAATTCAACTTACGCCGAATCATGTCAAATCAGAAGAGTTACACGAATAGATCTGGTAGGAAATCATTAGTCATACTGCAATTGCTAAACTATACGGAACTGTTTATTTGACAAGTTAAAACAACACTAACTTGTTCAGCAAATGATGATAAGTGTGCAAATATGTTTAAGACCTGTATAGAATGTATTTATATGTATGGCTTTTGTATTTAGAAAATCTATGAGAAGAGCACCATTCACGACCAGAGAAGATCTGTCTCATGAACGGTTCGGTCCAAAACCAAAATCATCGGTCTACAGTATTTCGAAATATTCGGACCCAGAGGTTATCATGGACCAAACGGGCCGGGTAGACACGCCCATGCTTGATCAACGTGGACAGGCCCGAAGGACGGCAAGCACTTCTTTTCTTGAGCTTGGCCAGCCCACTTCGGCCAGTCCATGCCTTAATCGTCATCAGCCTTGCGAAAGTTTTAAAGCACCCCCGGCAACTTTAATGGAAGCAACTTTTCAAGAACAGTGTATAACGCTAATATCGGGAAACGGCTAACCTGGCTCTGAAAATCAGGGCGCGAATGAAAATCACGGAAGAGGCGAAGAACTCCGGAGTGGACGATGACCGGCTCTTCCCCGTCGGAACGGCATGTCAATGGTGCGAACAGCCCGTGGTCAGCCGCATCCAGCGGCGCCAGCATACCGTAGCTCGGATCCAAACCGAGCACCGGCATCTCTTGGATGCCCGAGAACGCCACGTACCCCACGCCCCCGACTTGCTCCACCACGAAGGCCCCAGGCCCCATCGCGTTCGCGGTGCTGCACAGCCTCCACGCCTCCTCCAGCAGCGGCATCGACGCCAGGAAAGTCCCCAACATCTTGCTCGTCTCGAACCTTTCCAAAACAACAAAAAGTACATAAAGAAAAACGAACAAAACAAAGCGAAATCAGAGCAGGAGAAAGGGAGGAGGCTGTTACGGTGAAGCTTCGGTGTCCATGGTTTCCTCCCTTGCTCGGCGAATGTGGGAACTGGAATGAATATAGACTGTGAAGTTATGGTTTGAAAGTATTGTTCAAAAGTGTAGAAGGTCGTGGCCTTATATAGGGGTGAGATGAACGGGGAAGAGTTCGGTGGAGAACGTGAGAGAGTTCGGTGGGTTCGCAAGGGGCCTCTCTACGGATGGATCGACGTTTTCTGCCGTGCGTAAATAATTCGTCTCGAAGAAAAAGTCGATGTGTATTTGATTATGACTTGCTGCGGGACGTCTTCCATACGGCAGACGAGATGGCATGGTTGCCAAATCACATTTCTCCTACTCTAGCTTTGAAAAGCCCTTCTCTTTTTGAAGCGGCACTATGCTCAAAAGAGTTGCTCTTGCTTGTACCTTTCTCTGGCCAAATCTTGGATCTCTATCTGGCGCCCTCTTCCCCCTCTCTTTTATCATACGTGGATCATAGAAAAGATGTTTTGTGATGAGAAATTGAGTTTACGCAATTGGCATGCTAACTAATAATATGTTAAATTTGATTCGGTCCATTGAATGTCAACTCGCAACTTGCTACATGGCCTAAGAGTGGCGACGCTTCGTATATTTGATTGGGCTTAATTAACTTCCCCAAATATATTTTTTCCAATTATTATGTAAATTAATTTTTGATTGAGTAATCCAACCCTATCAAATTTTGGTCTTTGCAATCACTAAGCTAAGTTCCTATCAATTTGACCATGACGTTACATGCTAATTTTGAAAAGCCCACGTCACGATAACAAAGAGGTCCCAATTTAAAAGATCCATTAACTTACTACGTTTTCTATCATATCATCATCGTCTTGATAGTCTATTATACAATTAGACTAACAGAGAACCTTTTTTATTTATTTATGGAAAATCTAATTGATAAGTCTCTTTGGTAAGTTTTGTAATTCGAGATCTTGTAACAAGAATTTAAGATGTGGACCATCTTATGATTTTGGTCTTGTTAATATTTTGACTTTTAAGGGACTCGTGCACTGACAGTGGATGTCTGGGCATCAAAGAGTGAAGTGGAGAACAGGAAAGAGGGAGCTCGTTGCGTCGGATAGATCCACGTAGACGGCCGGGGGCTGTCTTTTTCCTTCTTCTTTTTTTATGATTAATAACTCGATAATTCGTCTCAAAGAAAAAGTCGATGTGTAATTTGATTATGACTTGCGGGACGTTTTCGATACGCAAAGACGAGCTGGCATGGTTGGCAAATTACATTTTCTGCAACCCTAGTTTTGAGAAATCCCTTTTTCTTTTGAAGCAGCACTAGCCTCAAGAGAGTTGCTTTTGCTGGTCCCTTTTGTTAGAATATTTACATATTAAATCACCCCTTCATCTAACAGTTTAAACTATTAGAGCAGTTGACCGTGATCCCACTATATCTTACATGATATCAGAGCTAATGGAGAACGGATCTTATTGCAAATACAAATGTGAAATTTCCGAGTTTGACGCTGTCGTATCATGATTTGGCCAACTTATAAATTCAGATATCCCCACTTTACCACTTTGATCCTGAAATAATGAGCTGGGCACGATAGAAGGAAATACGGTCTCGTAAAAAATAATGTGTTGTGATATATAGATTCGAGAGGTTGGAGGATAGAGACATTGATATCCCTTATGGCGATCAATATAGCCAAGAAACACGCATGGCAATGACCGAGCATCGAACTTATCTTTGGTGTAGTCCCTATGATAAGGAAAGCACCTATAACCAAAAACTCGCAAAAAATTATAATATGGTTTTCTGCCAAATAAAAATTGATAAGGTGATTTCATGCCCAACACCCTTGCAGGAAGCCGATGCAAGAGAAAAATTGCCGTTTGGAAGCTTTTGACCCAATATTTTTTAGGAATTCCACTTTGATGAAGCATAGTTAATCCAATTTACAACCAACTATTTTCTAAATTTTGAGTTATCTACCACTGGTTTTGTTGATAAAGGACGGGAAAAAGGGAAAGGTTCTAATAGTTCGAAACCGTGAAGGTGATTTATATACCTTGAAGGTGCCAAACGAATCACTATTTTCGAATCGGTTCAGGAAAGCTAATGAAAGTACTTGGCATCAAAGGTTGGGACATCTACAACTGATGACAATCCGACATCTGCAATATTACCATATGTAGTAGTTGTCAAATGGGTCGAGCATCTAAACTTCCTTTTTTGCCTTGCAAATCCAGTACTACTAAGCCTTATGAAAAGATACATTGTGATTTGTGGGGAAATGCTCCAGTAATCTCATTTCAAAGGTTTTAGTATTATGTTTGCTTTGTAGATGATTATACGCGATATACTTGGTTGTTTCCATTATGGCAAAAATCTGACTTTTTGCATGTTTTCTCAATTTTGAGAAATATTTGGAAAGACAATTTGGAGGGCTGCAAGCCAGTTTCCACCCCTTTGGCCGCTAGTTCTCATTCTAGTACGGATGCAAGACTATTTTCGGATCCTACGCTATATCGAAGTATCGTCGGAGCTCTTCAATATTTCACAATTACACGGTCGGATATTTCATATGCTTACCTCACCACGTTGTCTATCAAATAGTCCATTTAACAATTAATTTGTTCGAAAGAAAATGGTTTTGGCGTCAGTAGCTGGTTGCCGTCAATAGCTGCGTTTGCTTACCTCTTCATACGGGAAAAATGGAAATGATGCAGTTTCCGAGGAAGTCATATAGCAGCGAGTCTCTCTCCCTCCCTCCGTATGCGTGGACCATAGAACCAAATAAATGTTGCGTCCAAGTATGAAATCTTTTTCTCTTTCAATAAATATTTATACAGTTTCTTCGCGTTATGTATTCTTATCGATAATTTCACTTCATTATGTAATAATTCAAATGTTTCGAAATTTTACGAGTCGAAAGCAAATTAATTATTACACATTCAACAAAAAAAAATAGAATAGAATACTCTTTAATACCAAACCCATAAGCGAATATGATGCGCAATTATTGCTTATCAATCATAAATCTATAAATAACGATGTCCCGTCCATTCGATAGCATCGTTATCTCAAAGAGTTATGGCTTTAGATGATTCGGGAAGGAATTCATACACTTAACACAAGTTGGATGATTAATTTGATTGTTTTTTGTATAATTTATAAATCATGCGAATCACTTATATTCTAGCCGTTCATTGTGCATGTCCACATGATCAATAGTCTAGATGTATTCACATGCTACGTGAATACCATTTCAATAAGCAAAATCATTGTAAATAGCCATTGAACTACGATGCGAGGCTACATCGACACGAAGAAACGTAGCTTGAAACAATGGGAATGTCGGAAATTGAGGTGAGCAGGAGAAGGGTGGCGGAGGTGAGTTGCGATGAAGCTTCGGTGTTCCACGGTTCAATGTTTCTGCTCGTTGAACGGGGGAATGAAATCGATATCAACCCTGAATTTGTCGACTTTAAAGTGGGTCAATTCGGGCGATTGGGGGCTGAAGACATGAGGCCAGGCCAGCGAGTTGGATCTTTGCCGAGATGGAGGGCGTTGATTTCCAGGGACAAAGAAGAAGAGGACTTGCACCCAAAACAGACAGCACACTCAGAGAAAGGCGGAGAACGGGACAGAGCTCGTTGCTTTTGCGAGGTGGGGACTCCCTTCGGATAGATCGACCCCGCCTTGTCTGCCGTGCGCTGTCCTTTTCCATTTATTTTTTAATGATTAATCGACCACAGTAGTGCCTCGTTGTCTGCCTCAGGTTCACCTGCCCTAGGCTTTGGCACTGGTTGAAGACGTGCTTCATTAGGTTAGCAGCTTCCTCGGCCCTCTTGTCGTGGAGCCACTTGTATCGCACCGGGCATATGATCTCCGACTTCACGACCCGCCTCATCTTCTTCCACTGCTCCCCATGGGTCGAGAAGATGGTGGTCACATAGCCCCCGCTGAACGCCCGGGCCGCCATCGAGACGGGCCTCGACGCAAACGTGGCATCTTGCTTTACGAGGAACTCCCGGGCGATCTTCGGGTCGGTTACGGGGATGACGTGCGTGTTCCCTATGCGGAAGCACGCGATGTTGGTGTCCATCTCCTCCATCCAACGAAGGATCCACTGGCCCGTGGGCTTGTTCCGGAGCACGCTGAGGGCGCAGCCGACCACTGGCCATGGGGCGGCCCCGGTGGGAGTTGGAGCGGCTTGGATATTCCTTTGACGCTTTTGCACCAAAAAGATTTGATGATGTTGTGAAAGACTAGTGCCATGAGAAGTAGGGCATGGGCCAAGGTGGCAAAACTCATCATCGTGGCGGCAATCAGAGAACTGTCGACGCGCTAGCTATTCTTGGCCTCTCTGGAGGTACATAGGACTAGGATTTTGGGAAAATGCAGAAGACCCCGAGAGTTGTGCATGTACATACACTGATATAGATGTGGCTATATAGGGAAACTGAAATCGACCAATCAAGTACTTGACTAAATAAAATGCAAGAGGATCCGATTCTATATAAATGTGATTAATTGGAGTAGATTCGCAAGCAATTAATAACTTCAGTCGAGGAACGACGCGCTAGCTATTCTTAGCCTCTCTGGAGGTACATAGGACTAGGATTTTGGGAAAATGCAAAAGACCCCGAGAGTTGTGCATGTACATACACTGATATAGATGTGGCTATATAGGGAAACTGAAATCGACCAATCAAGTACTTGACTAAATAAAATGCAAGAGGATCCGATTCTATATAAATGTGATTAATTGGAGTAGATTCGCAAGCAATTAATAACTTCAGTCAAGGAATTAAACATGCCTATGTTTTTTTAGGGGTTTTCTTGTTTCAAATCTAGCGTAAGTAGGGATAATGGTAAAAAAGTCGTAAATCTTGTGTACGGTTGTCAATTCAAACTTGCCAATTTAGTCCGAAAAATTATAATAATTTCTCAATTTAGTCATAAATCTTTTGACGATTTGTCAATTCAGCCGTTCTGACTAATTTTGGTAAGAAATTGCTGACATTAATGTCACCCGACCATCTCATGCGGTGTGGCCGACGCCAACATCGACAAAGTTTCCATTTTTATTTTTTTTTTCATTTTATTTCCATTTGGCTTGTGGCTAAAACTCGGTCATGGCCGGTGATTGACCACAAGCGAAGGCGTCATGGCCCTCGCCGACCACATATAAGTGTCGCCCTCATTGGATCTGGCGAGGGCTCAACCCTCATGGCTTGGGCGAGGGTCACCCTCGCCGAATCTGACGAGGGCTCAACCCTCGCCTACAATGCCCTCGCTAGCCCTCACCTATGGCCGGTCACCAGTCATGGCTGAGTACCGGCTACTGTCTCAAGGGAAAGAAAACGGAAAAAAAAACATAAAAAACGAATTACCTTTTTTTTTTAAAAATGCAAAATTTATCCCCATCAGCGATGGCCGTATCACGTAGGATGGCCGGTTGGCGTCCATGTCAGCGATTTCTAGCCAAATTGAACGGAAAGACTAAATTAATAAATCATCAAAAGGTTTTAAGACTAAATTGACAAATTATCAAAAACTTTATAAACAAATTAACGCAATTGGAAGGTTTGGGACTAAATTGAAAAGTTGTTTAAAGGTTTGGATGAAATTGGCACAATTTAAAGGTTTGAACTAAATTAGCACAATTTAAAGATTTACAATTGCATTGACCGTCGTACAATGGATTTAGAGCTTTTTGGACAATTTTCCCGGTCTAAATACAAGTCTTATGGTAGTTTTGATAGTCCAAAGCTGGCAAGTACTTGAAGAAACGCTACTCTGTAATTGTGCTTATCTCATACCTTTCTTGGCCTTTGGGCTTAAGATCACGCGCTCATCTCATCCAGCTTCTTTCTGTTTGATGAGTTAAATTTGTATTCTGGTAGTTGACTGATTCCTCAGTGTATACTAATGCTCTACGTAAAGACAAATGGAAAGAAAAACATTTTTTGAGCAGAAAAATATGTTGAATAGAACGAGTTACCATTAAGATTGCTTGTCGTTAGTGCTAAAAATAAGAAGAAAGGTTTGACGAGGTTTAACGTGGTACCTCCACAAATTGAGTTGTTGTGAATTTGCAAGTTCTAAAGGCGTCCCCTTTAAGTAGGCTGCAGTGACCACATAGTCTCCCCAGAACGTTTCAGAAATGAAACCTTGGTATTTGATGACACGAGCAACCTCTAAAAGATGACAATATTTTCTCTCGACAACCTCGTTTTGTGGGAGTGTGTAGACACAGGAACTCACATGAAGAATGCCATTCAAGGTAGGGATGAGCATGGTTCAGGTGGGTGATTCCCACCATAAAACCGGGAATTGCCCACTAAGGACCGGTTCCGAAAAATTGGAACTGGAAACCGGACCGCCAGTCCAGTTTCTGAATAGATCTATGGCTACAAGTTTGCGGTAAAAAAAAAAACTTGAAATAAATGTGCCATACTAGTATAAATTTGGGATTTTTGGTATCATAAAAAAAAATTTGGGGTAAATATATCACAATGGGCATATTTTTTAGTTTTTGGTGGCTTTTTCCCAAAAAAAATTCCCAAACTTTAATCATTATTAGTTCCTACAAAAATGAATCAATAAACAATAATTCATGCTTAAACATGTTTGTTGATGATGGGATATTTTCTGTTACCTCATTTCTTAAGAGAGATATCGCTCCACTCTCGTGAAGAAAAGGCGAAATAGCTAATGCATGGTCCTTACACTATTCCCGAAAGAAACGAACATCGAAGGACCTTCATCTTCATCTCCTTCGGATCAAAAGGCAAGAGAGCTATATTAGCACCCCCCAGATGAGTAATGATCTTTCATCCCCATGCCAGCGTCTGAGCAAATGATCAGCTGGGCCAAGTCGCAAACTCCAGTGAGGACAAAACACAATGCACGGCTCCTGCCAATGAAGTCCGCGCACATTCCAACAGCTATCAGAGGATACGATTAGATGACAAGTTGCACAGTCAAAAGAAAAGGTTATCGTACAATAGCTTAGGTGAGTAAGGGTGCGCATGGAATGCATTCCGGAATAAAAATTCTGTTCCGAAATGCATTCCGGAACAGAATGGCGTTTGTTAAAAAATTTCCGGAATGCATTCTGGAGCGATTTTTGCATTCTGGAATAAAAATGCGTTTGTTAAAAATACTTAATTCCAGAATGCATTCTTGATTCCGGAATGCACTTTTGATTTCGGAATGCATTTTTGGCAAGAAAAAGAGAAGCTACTTTTTGTAGCTTCTTGATTCCGGAATGCATTCTCCCTATTTTCTCATAATTTTTTTTTTCAGAAAATGCATAAAAACTGAAAAATTCTAGAAAAAATCATAAAAATTTCCAAAAAATAAAAAAAAGTCAGATTTTGGGAAAATATGAAATTTGGTGAATTTTTTTTTTTAAAAATAAAAAAAATAAAAAATTTCAAAAATTTCAAAACTTCACAGAATAGCTTAAAACACATGTAGCCACCCACTTTGAGTGAAATTTAATTTTTTTGAGGTGTCCAAAAAAATCAAAAATTTCAAAACTTCAGAGAATGGCTTAAAATACACAATGGTACCTACTTTGAGTGAAATTTAAAATTTTGAGCTACAAAAAAAAAAGAAAAATAATAATAAAATAAAAATTTTCAAAACTTCACAAAATGGCTTAAAATACCTGTGGCCACCCACTTTGAGTGAAATTTAAATTTTTTGAGGTGCCCAAAAAAAATAAAAATAATAAAAAATTTCAAAACTTTACAAAATGGTTTAGAATACCTGTAGCCACCCACTTTGAGTAAAATTTAAATTTTTTGAGGTGCCTAAAAAAATAAAAAAAAATAAAAAATTCAAAACTTCACAAAATGGCTTAGAATACCTGTGGCCACCCACTTTAAGTGAAATTTAAATTTTTTTAGGTGTCCAAAAAATTAAAAAAATCAAAAATTTCAAAAATTTACGGAATGAGCTTATAATACCCGTGCCACCCACTTTGAGTAAAATTTAAATTTTTTAGGTGCAAAAAAATCAACAAATCAAAACAGATTATGTTTGTAAATCAATTTCGGAAGCGAGAATTAGTCATGTTTTACCAAACAGATTTCTCCTCCGTAAATCAATTTTACGTAAGAATTTCGAAATCAATTTCAGCAGAATTTGATTTCTGGAGCAGAATGGTTACCATTCGCACCCTAAATTGCAGAATACACTTGCAGCCTTTCTCCATTCAAAAGCTCGACATGTGCAAATAATGGCTCACCAGAGAACAACTGTGAAGGACATAAAATCAACAAAAAAATCAGCTTTTAGTGGGGATGTAAATGATCAGTTGGAGACTTCCTACAAATATAAATCATATGCCCTCATTAACATACCTTTCCTTGCCTTTGTTTGCACACCCACTAAGGTATTATGTTGGTATATGCCAATAACTCTTCCGCTACCGACGAGATAACAAATATTGGAACCTATGGAAAGATCAAATTGTATTACAAGGACATTTTTTAGTTATAAGACAAAAAACTCTGAAGAACCATTTTTCCGAAAATATTGATTGCCTTTTTCATTCTGGAATATCTCATTCAGGAAGTACATTGGACATAGACTTCACTTGCAGCAGTGAGAGCAACCAGAACTCCAGTTCGCAAAAGCAATTGCAAAAAATAAAATCCTGAGACTAAAATTGCATGATCACCTAGGAGACAAAACTACCAGGTTGACGACAGCCAATGATTATTATCCAGGAAAACAAAAGGAGGATTATGTTTTTTGCTGTCCGTGGTTCTGAAGCACAAGATTGCATTGCTGTTCAAAAGGAGTTCCCACATTTTTACACTGTAAAACCCATCACACAAGCAAGACATGTAAACTGAATATACAATCTACAGAATCAGCAACTCTCATCAAGTTAGATTGGTTTACAGTTAAAATGTGGCAACAGCCAACCAAACTAACTAATACACCATCAAATCCTAACCAGATGAAGACATGCTCAGGGCATCCAATGTGGACAAAGTGCCATATATAGCGTAATTATAGCTTGTTCAGGGTTTTAGCAGCGGGTTTAAACATAGCATACTAATTCATCACCTGACTTTTTTGAAGGTGCAA